GCTGCTTGGCCTGCTGTGTTCATCCAGCCCTGCACCTTGTTGTCTCGGATTTTCCAGCATCTGCAGTTCCTACTATCTCTGAGTAAGTGAGGTAATGTATTTGGGCGGTTCCCTGCCTCCTTAACCTGTCTGTTTCCTCTCCACCTATCTGCTCCTTTATCCATCTTCCATCCTCCCTCCCCCTTTCCATCTGTTTATTTCAGAATCCCCTCCCCAATTTCTGAATAAGGGTTCAGACCCGAAACAAGGCGTAGAGCTGGATGAACACAGCACCTTGTTATCTCAGATTCTCCAGCATCTGCAATTCCTACTGTCTTTCCAGACCCGAAACGTCAGCTTTCCTGCTCGGCCTGCAGTGTTCATCCAGCTCTACACCTTGTTATCTTATTAGTGCAGTGGTGATAGATTGGATTGCCATGATAAAGTGCAGATGTCTATGGCCTCTTTGAGTGGCACATTAATGAATAGTCTAGCAATAGCAATGCAGTATCCACGTGCTGTTTTGATATCAACGAGCAAGACCTGCACGGCCTTTCAAAATGTGAAGGAATCCTTCATTGTGTTAGTTTTGAGCAAGTTTTTCCACTAAATTGTAGCAATTCACCCAACTGTCTGGCCAGTTCATGTGCAGAGCTGCCGCAGATATGATGGAATGTAAAGGGACTTCACTTTTTGTGCGTTTTGGGCAGCTGTAATTTTTTAATTTAAATGTCTCATCTACAAATTTGCAGTAAAGAGTATGGCCAATCTTTGAAATTTCTCAGGTTCTCCATCTGAGAAGAGCCCTGCTATTCTAAATGGTGTCTCTCCAAAACTTGGGCATCAAATCTGACTTGTGTATTTTTCATTCTGTTTTAAATCTCTTTCTTCAAAAGTCCCCCCATTAAGGTAGTTTGCCTAACAGACTATCCTTTGTGCAATGTAACTTTTTTTATTCAGTATTTTGTTTTTTACATTCTGGGGTCCCTCCCGTTTTTAAAAAAACACAACGCTTTTCCAAAGTTTCACAGCGCTGTGGAATTCTTTCTGTCTCTTAATCAGTCCTCGAGATCTTGAATACCTATGAAATTTGAGACAAAAAACTTACTTCTACTTCAAAAATTACTTGATTCTAATGTATTCGATCCTTCTGGAGTTCCCAACATTACCACAGTAACTGCTTCATAAGGTTTTAAATTGGCTACAAAATGATTTGAGGTTGTGAAACATACTACGTTAATGCAAGTCTTTCTTTTAAGGTTAAGCCAAAGAAAATGTTATTTACCTTTTCAAGTTTTTAAATTGATTTTTGTATTCTGCAACTATCCTAGACAAATTGCCAAAACATACCTATAAGTTTAGGTGAACGAAGGAACACTTGTGCAGTGTTAAAAGCTCATTTGCTATTCAGATGAACCATTAACCTGAAGGTCTGTTGGCTCCGTGTCTTTAAAAATAAAATGATCTAGCATCATTTTAAGAAGAGTAAGTTCAGTTATCGCTAGTGTTCTGAGCAATATATCTGTCCAATGTACAAAATTTATGGTGCTTTTCTGTAAATTAGTTCTGTTTCAGAATTGGGCCATTGATTGATTGAAAAGCACTCTTGGGGTGTTCTGAAGTTATGGAGCTATACAATATAGAAACAGAACCTTCGGTCCAGCTTGTCCATGCCGACCAGCTATCCAAAATAAATCTAGTCTCATTTGTCAGCATTTGCACCATGTCCCACTAAACACTTCCAATTCATATACCCATCCAGATGCCTTTTTAAATGTTGTAATTGTACCAGCCTCCATCACTTCTGGCAGCTCATTCCATACACACACCATCCTCTGCATGAAAAAGTTGCCCCTTAGGTCCCTGTGCCCTCCAGTTTTGGACTCCCCTATACTCGGGAAAAGACGTTGGCTACTCACCCTATCCATGCAAATGAATATTTCCTTATATTATAAAACATTTGGATTTTAAAACAAGTACTGCAAAGGCTCAATAGTGTAACTAATATTTTCAATCTCCTATATTTTAGGGTATTTATTTATGGATGCTTCACCAGAGGACAAGCAGTTGAAATCTCCTTTGTTTTGAAATGTTTTACATTTTGTGCTTTGAATGGGTACCTTCAAGGACAGAACCTGATCTACTGTACTGAGTATGATAATAGCTGGACCACTGACTTCAGATTTTTGTTTGGTAAGCTGCTACAAGAATGAATCGGGCATAAAGGTTTTTTAAACAGTCTGTGATTTTATTTCCTACTTCCAGTATTTTTTGCTTACTGTACTCCTACACACTTTCTACCCATTTATATTTTACAATTACTTTCATTTATTTAAAGCAAAATAATAGACTCTGGAAATCTGAGATAAATACACAAAATCATGGAAGTACTCAGCAGGCAGCATTTGTGAAGAGAAAAAACAAAGTTTAATGGGCTAGATTTTTCTGCCAGTGGAAGTTTGAATCAAGCGATTGAAATTTAGATTTTTAAACTGGGAAAACAATTTTTGTCTGCCTTCCAAATGATCACATTGTGTGTAACCTTATTGCAAATTGGGAAAGGTTTGGGTACAAAATACACATGCACCTCTTTGAATATCAGGCTGCCCTCACAGGAAGATTGGGTTTTCCTCCTGCATGTCATTTTCATATAGTGGTGTGGAGCTTTGAACAATATTTTTCTTCTTTTCTAAATAGAACCTTTCTAGAGTTTCTGATCACGAGGCAAGCCTGTGGAGAAGTCGGCAACACTCTAATAGTTTGATGTAAAAACATTTTACATTTAACAGATATCAGTACATACTGTATTGTAGTGTAGTTGTGTTTTAAGGTAGTGATTCATCAAATGGTGCTGTCCTGCAAGGGTACATTGTGATGACAAACCTCCTAAAATCAATTACCTAATATATGCAGTCAACAACTTGTAGCAGTAATTTTCTGATAGTTTTATTGAGTTTTAAGAAGTGGCAGTTTAAATATATATTCTTTAATTGGGCCAAATCTGAGATGGCATGCAGCCTTTTGTAGTAGTGTTTTGCAGCAGTTGTTTTTGATCTTCCCTTGGGCTAATTGTAAGGGAACTCCTGTGGTCGAGCGAGGGAACTGTGGTTTACTAAAGAAGTTGAATCTCTTGTCAAGAGGAAGAAGGAGGCTTATGTAGAGATGAGGCGTGAAGGCTCAGTGAGGGCGCTTGAGAGTTACAAGTTAGCCAGGAAGGACCTAAAGAGAGAGCTAAGAAGAGCCAGGAGGGGACATGAGAAGTCTTTAGCAGGTAGGATCAAGGAAAACCCTAAAGCTTTCTATAGGTATGTCAGGAATAAAAGAATGACTACAGTAAGATTGGGGCCGGTCAAGGACAGTAGTGGGAAGTTGTGCGTGGAGTCCGAAGAGATAGGAGAGGTGCTAAATGAATATTTTTTGTCAGCATTCACACAGGAAAAAGACAATGTAGTCGAGGAGAATACTGAGATACAGTCTATTAGACTAGACGGGATTGAGGTTCCTCAGGAGGAGGTGTTAGCAATTCTGGAAGGTGTGAAAATAGATAAGTCCCCTGGGCCGGATGGGATTTATCCTAGGATTCTCTGGGAAGCTAGAGAGGACATTGCAGAGCCTTTGGCTTTGATCTTTATGTCGTCATTACCTTCAGGAATAGTGCCAGAAGACTGGAGACGAGCAAATGTTGTCCCCTTGTTCAAGAAGGGGAGTACAGACAACCCTGGTAATTATAGACCAGTGAGCCTTACTTCAGTTGTGGGTAAAGTGTTGGAAAGGATTATAAGAGATAGGATTTATAATCATCTAGAAAGGAATAATTTGATTAGGGATAGTCAACACGGTTTTGTGAAGGGTAGGTCGTGCCTCACAAACCTTATTGAGTTCTTCGAGAAGGTGACCAAACAGGTGGATGAGGGTAAAGCGGTTGATGTGGTGTATTTGGATTTCAGTAAAGCGTTTGATAAGGTTCCCCATGGTAGGCTATTGCAGAAAATACGGAGGCATGGGATTGAGGGTGATTTAGCAGTTTGGATCAGAAATTGGCTAGCTGTAAGAAGACAGAGGGTGGTGGTTGATGGGAAATGTTCATCCTGGAGTTCAGTTACTAGTGGTGTACCTCAAGGATCTGTTTTGGGGCCACTGCTGTTTGTCATTTTTATAAATGACCTGGATGAGGGCATAGAAGGATGGGTTAGTAAATTTGCGGATGACACCAAAGTCGGTGGAGTTGTGGATAGTGCGGAAGGAGGTTGCAGGTTACAGAGGGACATAGATAAGCTGCAGAGCTGGGCTGAGAGGTGGCAAATGGAGTTTAATGCGGAAAAGTGTGAGGTGATTCACTTTGGAAGGAGTAACAGGAATACAGAGTACTGGGCTAATGGTAAGATTCTTGGTAGTGTGGATGAGCAGAGAGCTCTCGGTGTCCATGTGCATAGATCACTGAAAGTTGCCACCCAGGTTGATAGCGTTGTTAAGAAGGCGTACAGTATGTTAGGTTTCATTGGTAGAGGGATTGAGTTTCGGAGCCATGAGGTCATGTTGCAGCTATACAAAACTCTGGTGTGGCCGCACTTGGAGTATTGCGTACAGTTCTGGTCACCGCATTATAGGAAGGATGTGGAAGCATTGGAAAGGGTGCAGAGGAGATTTACCAGGATGTTGCCTGGTATGGAGGGAAGGTCTTATGAGGAAAGGCTGAGGGTTTTGAGGCTGTTTTCGTTAGAGAGAAGAAGGTTAAGAGGTGACTTGATAGAGACATACAAGATGATCAGAGGATTAGATAGGTGGACAGTGGGAGCCTTTTTCCTCGGATGGTGATGGCTAGCACGAGGGGACATAGCTTTAAATTGAGGGGTGATAGATATAGGACAGATGTCAGAGGTAGGTTCTTTACTCAGAGAGTAGTAAGGGCGTGGAATGCCCTGCCTGCAAAAATAGTAGACTCGCCCACTTTAAGGGCATTTAAATGGTCATTGGATAAACATATGGATGATAATGGAATAGTTTAGGTTAGATGGGCTTCAGATTGGTTTCACAGGTCGGCGCAACATCGAGGGCCGAAGGGCCTGTACTGCGCTGTAATGTTCTATGTTCTATGGTCTTTAAGATGATGGTGGTTCTTCCCCCTGCTCTTGCTGAAACTCCTCGTCCTTGCTATTATTTTCGGGGCTGGCCATCTCTGTTGTATCCACCATCTGTCAACTTTCTCAACCAGTGACCAGGAGCAGCTACTTATAATGCCAGCATGACCGTTGTCCCCTTAACCACCTCTGTTTGAAGGTTAGTCTTCATTCTCTAAGATATTTCTGAAAATATCATACTGATAATTGAGTTCATTTGGTTCCAGATCAATTGTTGATGCTGCTTCAATGGACATTGTGACCTCTATTTATTATAATGTTTCCTTTTTGTTTTCATATGCTAGAATTTTGGAAAACTGATTACTGCTGTAATAACTGTTAAATAAAATCTCATGTTAGACAGTAATTTTTGAGGTATGCCAATTTCCAACAATATTGACCACTATTGTACAAGTAAAGACACACATTTCATTATTTTTCCATTTAAGTGCTATAATGAACTGGAAATTAAATGACTGACTTTGGAGAAAGGGACAACCCCTACTTTTTAAGAGATGTTTTAAAGAATCAAAGAACCTACTCCCTTCCATTGATTGATAGGCATTCTTCTGTGAACCTGAGAATACACCATTTGATACTTCAGATTTAGGCATTGGAGTTAGATATTTTGAGAACTATGACCATTATCAATGCTTGGCTTTTTTCCAAGATGTGAAAAACCAATCTAAGATCAATCAGGCTTGCAATGTGATTTTTTTTTTTGCACATGCTATAAGCTACATGTATTCATGTGCAGGACTTTGTAGGTAAAAACAATATGGCCATATATTTCAGTCTCAATCTCAGTATTTCAATACTCCATCTGTTTTACGTTAATGTAGTGGGCAAGAGAAATTTATTCAACACGTTCAAGGTAAGGGTTGATTTCACCACAATTTCATCCGCCACAAATAAGAGCAGCAGTTGCCTGTGTTTAATTTGGTTCAGGAATACCTTATGCCAGTTTTAAACCTGATGCTGGTTTAATAAAGGATACAAGGGAAGAGAGAAAAAGAGAAACATTGCTGGAGAAACTCATCAGGTCTAAAGAGTCTGAAAAAGGGTCACTGGACTCGTAATGTTAACTTTGCTTTCTGTTCACAGTTGCGGCCAGACCTGAGTTTTTCCAACAATTTATGTTTTTGTTTCAGACCTTTCCAGTTCTTTTTTTGTTTTATCTTAAAGGAAAGGACAAACCTACTATAGTGCTCACCTTGTTTTTTTTTCTTTTAAGTGACAGACTGAAAATTTTAATCTAATTAGCCTGTAGCTGTGACTTGGGCCTATTGATCAGTAGCTAACGAATTGATGATCAATACCTTAATGTTGTATCAACCTACTTGGTTTCAGATCAGTATGTTTTAAAATATATGTACCCACTTTGTGTGTGTGCGTGTATATTATCACTATAAATGCTTCATACCAGAGAAATGAGGACAAACACTTTTCTCACTATGGAAAATAATGAAGGCAGCTGACTCTTGGAACTCTGATGCCATGAATTGATTTGTACCATTACCAGTATATTGTATAATTCAGTGATGGTAGAAATAAAACTGGAAGTTATATTTACTGTTTTCTTCAAACAGAAACTATATACCTGGTTCATATATCACTGACAGTATGATGTAATTTGAGTGTTGTTGCTATATACTAGCCCGAGATATATCATGAAGATTTATTGTTTGTTGAGACTGATGTAAAGAGTGGTGCTAATAAACTTCAAGGCAGTTATAGGATTTCAGATGTGCATGTAGCCTAGGTCCTATGCTTAATGATGTTACAGCTACATTACCTGATTATAACATGACACTTAGCTGACTGCAATGACCACAAAGTGCTCCTAAAAGTGAGATGGGGACCTCTTACCTAACAACTAGTACGGTTGACAAGGGGAGCCAGTCAATGCAGTGTATTTGGACTTTCAGAAAGCATTTGACAAAGTCCCACATAAGAGATTAATGTGCAAGATTAAAGCACATGGGATTGGAGAAATTGTATTGAGATGGATACGAAACTGGTTGGCAGAGAGGAAACTAAGAGGAGGAATTAATGGGTCCTTTTCAAATTGGCAAGCAGTAACTAACTAATGGGGTGTCGCAGGGATTGGTGCTGGGACCCTGGCTATTCACGATACATATTAATGATTTGGATGAGGGAACAAAATCTGAGTTTGGAGATGATACCAAGGTGGGTAGGAGGGTGAAGTGTAATGAGGATGCAGAGATCCTTCAGCATGCTCTTGACAGGTTGGGTGAGTGGGCAAATCAATGGTAGATGTAGTATAATTTGGATAAATGAGGTTATTCACTTCAGAAGCAAAAGCAAGAAGGCTGATTTTACTACCTGAATGGCTGTAAATCGGGAGAGGGGAGTGTGTAGCAGGACCTGGGTGTCCTTGTGCACCAATCGCTAAAGGTAAGCATGCAGGCACAGCAGGCGGTAAAAAGGCAAATGGTATGTTGGCCTTCATTGTGAAAGATTTTGAGTACAAGAGCAGGGATGTGTTGCAGCTATACAGGGCCTTGGTGAGGCCACACCTGAAATATTGTGTGCAGTTTTGGACTCCTATTCTGAATGCTTCTGCTCTCAAGGGAGTGCAGTGAAGGTTTACCAGGCTGATTCCGGGGATGGCAGGTCTGACATACGAGGAGAGATTGACTAGGTTGGGATTGTTTTCACTTAAAATTCTAACCGGACTGGACAGGGTCGATGCAGGGAGGATGTTCCCAATGGTGGGTGTGCCCAGAACCAGGGGGTCACCGAATGAAGATTTGGAGTTAGACGATTTAGGACTGAGATGAGGAGACATTTCTTCACCCAAAGAGTGGTGAGCCTGTGGAATTCATTACCACAGGAAGTAGTTGATGCCAAAACATTGATCCCATTCACCCCCAAGTGCAATATCTAGTCGCCTCTTGAATACATTCAAAGGTTATGGGGAGAATGCAGGATTAGTCTACTGAGTTGGACAATCAGCCATGATCGTGAAGAATGGTGGAGCAGGCTTGAAGGGTTGAATAGCCTCTTCCTGCCCTTATCTTCTCTCGTTCTATGTAACTGTCTTAAAGGTATACTACAGCGCCAGGGACCCAGGTTCGATTCCAGCCTCGGGTGACTGTGTGTGGAGTTTGCACATTCACCCCGTGTCTGTGTGGGTTTCCTCCCACAGTCCAGATATGCAGGCTAGGTGAATTGGCTGTGCTAAATTGCCCAGTGTTCAGGGATGTGTAGATTAGGTGGGTTATAAGGGGAATGGGTCGGTATGGACTTGTTGGGCCGATGAGCCTGTTTCCGCACTGTAGAGATTCTATGATTATTGAATATAATAATAACTATTCTGTTCTGTTTTAGGAGGATTATTTGAATATGTTTCTGCAGCAAACTACTTTAGTGAAATTGTGGAGTGGTTTGGCTATTCCATTGCCACTTGGACCTTCCCAGCCTTTGCTTTTGCCATTTTCACAGCTGTATTCTTAGAATCTCGTGCTGTGTATCATCACAGGTACAATTGACAAGTTAATTTGCAACCTTTCTTGTTAGCACTGATTTTAATTTTCTGTAAGTCAAGTTTAAGTTACTTAGTCTTGATCGTACATTACAGATTCAATAAAATTAAGCAGAATTTGTGCTCTTGTGCATGAGTGGCAAGTGAACATAAAGCTGGAGAGGATGGCTTGAGGATTAATGTATCTATTTAAAGTGATGGATAATAGAAATCATTGTCTATCTTGGGGATAAATTAGGCTGGATGCAATAAATTATCTTGCTATACCAAGTGATGTAGCAGTCCCTGATTCAAGAACAGAACACCTATCCTGTCAAATCTTTCTTTGTGTATGTTTTTTTATTAAAATTACTGTATTCTATATTTTTGAAATATTTCATGTACCGTAATAAATAGCAATGACTTTAACAAAACACTTATGCACTTGCAGATTTTAAAAGTTTCCAGCCTAGAACAAATTTGGATCTAAAATTAACATCCATCTTTTCTTGCCTTTAACCAATTTGCAGAGTATGGTGTGTCAAGGCATGTTTGAACATTGATAAGATGTGACAGAAAAATCTGGACAGTACTTTTTCATCATTGAGATTTACTCTCGTTTGAACATGGTATCATTGTTTGCCTCTTCTCTTTTAATGATTTGCACGGTCTGTAAATGTGACTTCTGCATCCATTGGCAAAATCAATGTTGCCTGCATTTAAAGTGCCTGTGTCTCTTACTGATCGGGCTGTTTGCTCTTTCCTTTTTTTAAAATTGATTAGGAGTGACTGACAGGTGACCTTTTATAGAGGTCTTTTGGAATTATGAAGATGTTCAATAGATGGAAAGCTTTGAGTACGTTTTACTTTTCTAGAGGGAGAAAAATAGATTCTATGAATATTGGATAATCATTTAATCTATGAAGGTGAAAAATCTTTATAGAGAGTGGTCAGAATGTTAAACTTGCAACCATACGCAATTAATAGTGCAGGTGCACTTGAGATGCTAGTCAAAATGAGGGGGGTAAAAAGGAATAGAAGGTACAACAGCAGGACAGAAGGTGGTGATGAAAGGTTGTTTTTAGGACTGAAAGCCTGTTACCAGCAGTGTCTTACAGGGATTAGTACTGGGTCTGCTTTTGTCATTTTATGTAAAATGACTTGGATGAGAATATAAAAGGCATGGTTAGTTAGTTTGCAGATGACGCCAAAATTGGTGCAGTGGACAGTGAAGAAGGCTATCAAAGGGCTGAGGAGTGGCAGATGGAGTTTAATTTGGATAAATGTGAAGCATTGCATTTTGGTAAAACAAACAAGGGCAGGACTTGTACAATTCAAGTAGGGCCTTGGCCTTAGAGACCTAGGGGTTCAGGTGCATAATTCTTTTGAAGTTTGTGTCGCATGTAGACAAGGTGGGTAAGAAGGTGTTTAGCAAGCTAGCCTTCATTGCTCAGTCCTTTTGAGTGCAGGAGTTGGGATGTCATGTTGAAGTTGTACAGAATGTTGGTGAGGCCTCTTCTAGAGTTCTGTGTGCAGTCCTAGTTGCCCTGCTATAGGAAGGATATTATCAAGCTGGAAAGGAGTCAGAAAAGATTTACCAGTATGTTGTTGGGAATGGAAGGTTTGAATTAAAGCAGAGGCTGGATAGGCTGGAACTTCTTTCACTGGAGCATAGGATGTTGCGGGGTGACCTTTTTAGAGGTTTATAAAACAATGGGGGGAATACATAAGGTGAATGGCAGGTGTCTTTTCCCAGTGGTGGGGGATTTCAAGACTAGGGAACATATTTTTAAGCTAAGAGGAGAAACATTTAAAAAATACCCTTCATGTGTTTTTTTTAAAAAGTGGTTTGTGTGTGGAATGAACTGCCTGAGGAAGTGGTGGATACAGTTACAACTTTGAAAGGTATTTGGATAAGTACATGAATAAGAACTGTTTGGAGGGATATGGGCCAAATGCAGGCAGGTGGGACTGGTTTAGTTTGGAATTGTGGTTGGCATGGACTGATTGGACCAAAAGGGTCTGTTTTCGTGCTGTGTGACTCTAAGTGGCAAGTGTGGAGTATGAAAATCAGATCAGTCAGGCAATTTTCCTCAAGTTTGTTAACATTGTAGAAATTTAGCCATGAAGTACCTGTTTCTTGAGTGCTAAACTTTCCTGAATCTTTAGTATGGGGTTAGGGGTTATGCCATTTGCCATATTCAGAAAACTCAGTAGGCTGGTGTGCATTTCCCATACCTAAAGCTGATATTGGGCTGTTTGCAGCTGTTGGCTAATTCTGTAGGAAATCTGATCTACCAGTGGCCCTTCTTTTTAAAGGTAGCACCAGTTAGGCTGTAGTCACAGCTGGTCGGTTTTAAAAATTTATTTTGCTGAATGTGGTAAATCAATGTACTGTTTCTTCTATGGAAATTGACATATCTGTAATTTCTTCAATTTATCATGGTTTTCTTAGAACGTTGGGAAATTTGCTTGAGTACGTTAAGTGTCTGTAACAGTATTCAGGATTACTGTTCAGATCGCTCCACTCCAGTAATGATTTGCTGTTTGCGTCTCTATGCTCTTCAGTCGTATGCTCACTGCAAGAACATCTGTGTTTTTAATATAAAACCTCCTTGGGCCCTTCAAAGAACCTGATCAACTAAAAGTTGACACTAAGCCCAATAGGTGATAATTAAAGATGACCAAAGACTTGGTCAAAGATGCAGGTTTTAAACAGCACCTGAAGGAAGAAAGTTCAAACTTAGGGCCTCAGGTGAAAGCACTTCCACCAGCACAGAAGTGTTTAAAACCAGTGATGTTCTAAAGGCTGGAATTGGATGAATAACTATCTTGGAGGATTTCAGGGCTAGAGAAAAGTAGGAGTAAAGACATGGAATAATATCAAAACAAGAATGAGAATTTTGAAATTGCATTACTTAAACTTGAAGCTATTGTAGATTAGAGATAGGGTCTTGGATAACCTTGAGTTTAGAATGTAAAACTAGGAGGCTGGCCAGAAGAACATTGGAATAGAGGTAGCAAAAGCATGGATACAGATTTCAGCAGCAGAGGAGTGAATGTAGGGGGTGAGATAATGCTCATTTAAATGTAGGTGTCTTAAAGGTGTGGATATGGGAATTGTGTCTCGGATCCAATAGGACAGCAGAATTGTGAAGTCTGGGTCATCTCAGACGGTCTCCAGAGAGGTTAATGGAGTTTATAGCTTACAGCTCAGTTAGTATAGGGACTGACGCTAATCGTTTTGGTTTTTCCAACATTTTAGTTGGAAGAAATTTCTGCTCCCTCTGAAAGTTGGATAAGCGGTTTGATAAAAATGAGACACAGGCTGAGAGGTAGTGGTTAGGTGGATCTGGTGAGGTGTCATAGTCATAGAGATGTACAGCCTTCAGTCCAACTCGTCCATGTCGACCAGATATCCTAAATTAATCTAGTCCCATTTGCCAACATTTGGCCCATGTCCCTCTAAACCCTTCCAATTCATACACCCATCCAGATGCTGAATAAATGTTGTAATTGTACCAGCCTCCACCACTTCCTCTGGCAGCTCATTCCATACATGCACCACCCTCTGCATGAAAAAATTGCCCCTTTAGGTCCCTTTTAAATCTAGAATGTCACCCCCCAGCCGCTGACACTCCAGAGAAAATAGCCCCAGCCTATTCATCCTCTCTTAATAGCTCAAACCCTCCAACCCTGGCACCATGCTTGTAAATCCCTTTCAAGTTAATTATTTTTCTTTCTTCGCCTGGCCCAGACCCTCTTCACTTTCATTCTTTTCCGCAGCAATGTGGGGTGGCACGGTAGCTCAGTGGTTAGCACTGCTGCCTCACAGCACCAGGAACCCAGGTTTGATTCCACCCTCTGGTGACTGTCTGTGCGGAGTTTGCACATTCTCCCCTTGTCTGTGTGGGTTTCTGCCGGGTGCTCAGGTTTCCTTTCACGGTCCAAAGACATGCAAGTTAGATGGTTTGGCCATGTTAAATTACCCACAGGGTTCAGGTTTGTGTAGGTTAGGTGCATTAGCCATGGGAAATGCAGGGTTACAGGGATAGAGTAGAGGGATGGGTCTGGGTGGGATGCTCTTCGGTGGGTCGGTGTGGACTTGGGCCGAATGACCTGTTTCTACATTGTTCTTTGGAAGTTTCCACATTCTTTGGAAGTTTCGCAACATAATTCCTATAGCATGGAGACCAGAATTGCACACAGTATTCCAAAAGTGGCCTAACCAATGCCCTGTACAGCCACAACATGACCTCCCAACTCCTATACTGAGCGCACTGACTAATACAGTCAAGCATACCAAATGTTGTCTTCACTACTGTCTACCTGCGACTCCATTTTCAAGGACGCATATCACATGTGAAAACTAACACCATAACAATGTCACTGAGGGGTAGCATGTAAATAGGATGTCTAAGATTAAAATTATGTCTCTAAGGACTTATCTATGTAAACATGATGTTTCACACTGGATAATTACAATGATTAGGCAGCAGACCTGAGACAAATGTTGGGATAGGAAACAGGCTCTGGTCAGACTGTGTTTAGAATGTGTTGTGTTTTGGGCCCTGTATCTAAGGAAGCATGTGCTGATGTTGGAGGGGGTCCAGAGGAGGTTTACAAGAATGATCCTGAGGATGAAGGGCCTCTCATATGAGGAGAGGTTGAGGACTCTGGGTCTGTATTCAAAGTTTAGAAGGACGATGGCGGGGGTGTGGATTTTACTGAAACTTTCAGAATACTGAGTGTCCTGGATAGACTGGACGTGAAGAAGGTGTTTCAGCTAATAGGAGAGATGAGGACCTGCAGGCACAGTGTCAGTGAAGGGACGAGAAGGGATGACCCTTTAGAACTGAGTTGAGGATGAATCTTCTCAGCCAGAGGGTGGTTAACTGTGGAACTCGTTGCTACAGAAGGCTGAGGAGGCCAAGTCATTGAGTGTATTAAATACAATCGTTTTGATGTAGCAAGGGAATCAAGGATTATTGGGAGAAAGCAGGAGAATGGAGTTGGAAATCATAATCAGTCATGATCAAATGTTGGATCAAATAGCTTAATTCTGCTCCTACGTCTTGTGGTTGAAGATAATACACCAGTAACTATTAAGAATCTAGATAAGTGTAGTCCTTGTGTCTCAGTCCTACAGTATAATCTTCAACTTCTCACACAGGATTCTAAGGTTCTAGAGCTTAGCATTGATGAGTACACCACCTTCATTTGCAGTTATTGAAATTGTGCATTTACTCCAGCACAAAAAAGTTCTGGTATTTTTAGCTTTATGACTAAGCCTCAAAGTACGTATACACCACTAGATCATTGTGTTGCTAACTTGTTAAAGTTAGAATATTGATTACTGTTGCCTAAGCATATTAGTCAGAACAATAACTGGCCAGTACTGACTATTGGTTTACCACACCTTATCTATATTTCATACTGCACTTATTTAGCTGTATTGTCAATGGGGATTGTTAGTACGTGCAGCAGCACCACTGGGTTAAGGAAGAGGAAAATAAACTAAAATCCCTGATTCTAAGGTAGCCTTTTTGTTATTTCTCAACTGACAGCGCTAAAAGATAGTCACCAGTGCTGTTTGTGGGACTTTGTTACACACAGATTTGATTCTCTTTATAAATTTTGACCAGTAGAGCCACACTGCCTCCCTCAATGTGATGTATCATTTCAACATTGCAAAAGTGTGTTCTATATTTTCTAGAATATTTCACTGTGAAAGTTTTACATGTTAACTTTTTTCCTTTTTCTTTTCACAGGTTTTATATGGAGAGGTTCAAGGACTATCCAAAATCTAGGAAGATTTTAATTCCCTTTTTATTTTGAAGCAATAATTTTAAAGCTCTAACAGACCAGTTATTCTGTTGCAGATTGCAAAAACTAATCCGCTTAATTCAATACCATATTTTGATTATTTCAGAGCTATACCTCAAATAAAATATTTTTAGCAATGTATCTACTAATGATCTAACTTAACAGTTCATTTGTATATTAGGTTTGAGGGACTATTTAATAGAGCTTTTCCCTTTTGGATAAAAATGTTTAGAAAATGTTTTGTAGCAAGGTTTTTGATATAATAACTCAATAATCATTCTATATTTTGTATGCAGTTATCTTAGGCTTCAGAAACAAAAGGCACAATTGTTTGTGGGATGGAGCATGAGCCTTGGTTTGAGGTGGATACAGCAGGAGTGAATGAGTGTGAAGCATCAAAGAACATATGGCTGCACTTGAGTGGAGAGGGCATTGATTTTCTCTGGAAGTGCTGGGTATCCTTCCAGATGTTGAGGCTATTCCAATCAAGGTTGCAACCTTGGACATGGTCTGGGGAATCTCCACTGGGGAAGAAGTCCCACATTTGTACCACCATGTCCAGCAGGACCTCCAGGTCCCCGTCAACAAAGCTGGGTGCCAATTTTCCCCCTGTATGCCATGTCCAAGGCAAATTTCAGGAAGAGTGCTGGACAGCTCAGGATAAAAAGGGCTTGTTCAGATGCACAACAGGAATTAAAAGATGACACGGACACAAGGAGTGCCAATCTGTCAGTGGGTATCTGCTGCGGGGCAAGATATTCTGGGAGCAGCAGAGAATTGGATGGGTGGTCACGATATAGGCAGGGTAAGTAGATAATGAGACAAGTTTGGTGAGATAGTGAGATTCTCATTGAGCCCCAGGGAGATTTGTCTTAAAGCTCTCAATTGGCTAAAAAAGTAACATTCTGTCCAAAGCTTTTTTATTTTCATTGCTGCTGATCTTTGCTTTAAAAGAGTGATTTTAAAATAGTGTTGAAACATCTTGACTGCAACTAATTAGTGAAATTCTAACTGTAACATCAAAAGACTAGATGTCCAGGTTCTACAACAAGTGATCATAAGATAAACAGTACCTCTTAGTTCAAGAACATCAGGATTGGTTCAAGAAGACCATTTTTCAGAATGTGTTTTTTTATTACTGAGCAGTTTAAGTAATGTGCAAATTAAATGATGTCATTTTCTGCAATGATATTGCTTGTGACTTTATTCCTTGCAAATAAATTAAACTGTTGGCTTCACTGCTGATCTTTTTCTGACTTTTAGAATAAAGGAGAAAAACATGGAAAACAAAGTAGAAAGGATAAATGAGATAACAAGGTGTAGAGCTGGATTCCTACTATCTCTAGAAAGGATAAATGTTGACTTCACTTCACACAATTTTTAAGTTCAGATAATAGTTATGTATTTGCTTACTATCTTTGCTGCCTTTTCTTTTAAACCATTAGCCCAAGTTTACAGGGTTGACAAAGTAAACTTGAGTTACAGTCCACAAATAGAATCTATCACATGGTAGGCGCATAATAACAAAGATTAGGGCATGCAAAGTTAATGATCAAATTGCTGAATAGATACTGAAATTGACTAAAATAGGAGTAGGGGTTAAGTGTACTACCGTGTATTGGAGGAAGGTGGAAAATACTACTTTACAAGAAACATACGACAGTGGCAGGAGGAAGCCATTCGGCCCTTCATGCCTGCTCAGCCATTCTTCACTATCATAGCTGATTGTCCGACTCAATAACCTAATCCTGCTTTCTCCCCATAACCTTTTGATCTCATTTGTCCCAAGTACTATATCTAGCCACCTCTTGAATACATTCAATGTTTTGGCATCAACTACTTCCTGTGGTAATGAATTCCACAGGCTCACCGCTCTTTGGGTGAAGAAATGTCTCCTCATCTCCGTCCTAAATTGTCTACTCCAAATCCTCTTACTGTGACAACTGATTCTGGGCACACCCACCATGTGGAACATCCTCCCTGCATCTACCCTGTCCAGTCTTGTTAGAATTTTAGGGAAAACAATCCCAACCTAGTCAATCTCTACTCATACATCAAACCCGCCATCCTTGGAATCAGCCTGATAAGCGTTTGCTGCACTCCCTTGAGAGCAAGAGCATCCTTCCTCAGAAAAGGATACCAAAATTGCACACAATATTCTGGTCTCATCAAAACCTTGAATAACTGCAACAACACATCTATGACGGACTACTGTTCATATTTTGTGAATGATTTAGACAAAATCAGTCTAAATGACAATGTAACTTAATATTAAAATTTGTAACTGATCTAAGATCAACAAGAAAAGGAAGAACACACCATAGAGAACTTGCAGACTAAATACTTCAACATTTAACAGATGTGAAGTTATGCACTTTGTAGGGGGAAAACATTGTTTACACCATTTCAGAAATAAATGGGGGATGTGGGGATTGCAGAACAAAGGGATTCCGATGAACAAATCAAAATAAATAAGCCAGCAAAACAGTTTTAAAATGCTAATAAAGCACTAGGATTTATTTCTAAGGATATTAAACTCAAAAGAAGTGGTGTTATGACAAACTGTTATAGGACCATGGTCAGGCCACAAGTGGAATACTGTGTATAGTTCTGATTTCCCCCAAGCTATGAAAAAAAAACACAGGCACTCATGGCGATAGCGAAAACATTTTAAAATTCATGTGCAGGATGTGGGCACCACTGTCTAGGGCAGCATTTCTTAAACCCTCCTAATTGCTTTTGAAGATAGTGATGAGCTGCCTTGAAATGCTGCAGCTCATAGAGGGGTCAGGCTATCCACAACACCATTATAGAAGACAGTTCCACAATTTTTACCCAGCAGCAGTGAAGGAACAGTATAATCCCCAAGTCAGGATGGTGTGCAGATTAGATGGTAGTAGCCCTTACGATCCTAGATGGCTTACTTCTGGTTTTAATCTGGAATCTGGCCAGATTCCAGATTAAAACCAGAAGACTGGCAGGAGATGCACCACTGTTCTGCCATTTTCATACTCCGATCACTTAATCTGAACTATCAACAACTTCTCTCAACACCCTATACCCACTACCCCCAAACCTTTACTCCCCTCCAAAAAAATTAGCATAAATGCGGTCCCCTTCACATTGCACATCAGCTCTGAAGAAGAGTCATTTAGACTCGACGTTAGCTTGTTCTCTCTCCAGAGATGCTGTCTGACCCGCTGTGATCTCCAGCATTTGTTGTTTTCAGTTAAACCTGGTTTGATAGATCATATTTTCTTTTGGTTTTAACATAAACATGCAATATTACAGATTTTGTTTGAACAGCTGTAAAACAGCTTAAAGAACATGAGAACTAGGAGTAGGAAATTCAGCAGCTCAAACCTGCACTGCCATTTAATGTTACCATGACTGTTCTCAATTCCATTTTCCGGCCTGCTCTCCATAACCCTTCAGCCCATTACTAATTTAAAAATCTGTCTATTTCTTCCATAAAATTACTCAATGAACCAGCATCCTCCACACTTGGGATAGTGAATTCCACAGATTGACAACCATTTGTGAGAAGTGATTTCTCCTCGCATCTGTTTTAAATCTGCTATCCTTATCTGAAAACTATGATCTCTTGTTCTCAATTGCTCTGGATGGGGGAATATCCTTTTATGTCTATCTTGTCAATCTCTCTTGAAATCTTACAAACCTCAATTAGATCTCCTTTCATTCCTGAAGCGAGTATAGGCCTAAACTGCTCAATTTCTGTTCATAAGACAAACTCCTCATCTCTAGAATCAATCTAATTAACCTCCTCTGAATAGCCTCCAATGCAACTACATCACTCCTCCAGTAAAGGGGTGACAATTATGCACAACATCCCAAGTGCAGACTCACCAATTCTTGTACAAGTGCAGCAACATTTCCTCACTTCTTTACTGTATTTGTTCAGCAGTAAGTTTGAAAATTCCATTTTCCTTCCTTGTACCTGCTGTATCTGCATACTAGTTTTCTGCAATTCATTCATGAGGACATCCAGATCTCTATGTCCTGAAGCACACAAGTTCTCTACATCTAGTTTCTACGTTGTCTTTCTATTCCTCTGATCAAAATGGGTCACCTCACACTTGTCCATGTTAAACTCCATCTGCCAAATTTTGGCTCATTCACCTAACCTATCCATATCAATTTGTAAATTTTTTACAATGTCATTGCAACTTAAATTCCCAGCATTTTAGTGTCATCTACAAATGTGGCAGTAGTACTTTCCATCCCTGCATCCAAGTCATTAAATAATAGATTATAAATAATTGGGGTCCAAGTACTAACCCCTGTGACACCCTACCGAGTTACATCTTACCAACCAGAAAAAGACACATTTATCCTCATGCTCTGCTTTTTAGGTTAGCCAATCCTCTATGCAAGCTAATAAGTTACCCATAACCCTATGTGATCTCGCATATTGAACTTTTGTGCAGCACCTTATCAAATGCCATCTGGAAGTCCAGATATACTACACTACAGGTTACCCATTATCCCTTTTGCCTGTTACATCTTCGAAGAACTCCAGCAAATTAGTCAAATATGACTTACCCTTTATAAAACCATGCGGACATTGGATTGCATTTTGCCTTTCCAAATGTCCTGTTATTGGTTCATTAACAATGGATTCTAACAATTTCTCAACAACACATTAAACTAACTGGTCTACAGTTTCCTAATTTGTCTCTCTCACTTTTTCGAATGAGGATTTTATATTATCACTTTTCCAATCCACCAGAACCTTTCCCAAATCCAGGGAATTTCAGAATGACATATCCAATGGATCCACTATCTCTGCTGTCATTTCCTTCAAGACCATAGAGTATAGGCCTTTAGATCTTGAGACTTGTCTGCCTTCAATCCCAATAGTTTATTCAGTTCTTTGTCCCTAGTGATGATTGTTCTAATTCCTCCCTTTCTATAACCTCTGCATGACCTTTTACAATTGGGGTGGTACTAGTGTCCTCCAACATGATAACTGAAGCAAAATATTGATTTAGTTAACTCCCTAGTCTCATCCTCCAAGAGACCAATATTCACTTTCGCTACTCTCTTCCCTTTTTGTACACTTACAGAAGCTTTTACTATCCATTTTTATATTTTGCACTAGATTCTTTCATAATTTAGCTTTGTTTTTTTTTAAAAACTTAATTTTAGTAACCCTTTGTTGATCTTTAAAAGTTAACCAGTATAAAAGTTTCCAGCCGGGCACTTGTTTTTGCAGTGTGATATGCCTTAGTTTTTGTCTTTATAATATCTTTAACTTACTTGTTTAGTCATGGATTAGTTTTCCTCTCTTAAATATATTCCAGAAAGGAAGATTGTAAGTTGGGAGCAATTGAGTAGCTCCTTCAACATCTGCACTGTCCCACCTTTTAGACTTCCTGCCCAGTCCACTTGTACCAAATCTGTCCTTGTGCCTATATAAATACCTTTGTTTAATTACAGAATACAAGAACGGGACTCCAATTTCTTAGTGTAACTGAATTTGAAATTCTAGCATGCTATAATCACTCTTCCCTAGAAGATCCTTTATAATGAGATCATTGATTAATTCCTCTTTATTACCCAATACCAAATCTAGAGTAGCATTGGTCCTGGTTAATTCCAAGAAGCAATCTCAAATACATTCACTGAACTGTCCCTTGAAGCTACCCTTGCCAATTTTCTTAATACATATTAAAATCACTCATGATTATTGCTATACCTTTCTTAAAGCCCAAAGTATTTCCTGGTTTATCTTGTGCTCCCAAAGCGAGACTACAGATTATTTCTAGCAGGGACTTCTTTTCTTTCTATTTCTTATTTCTACATACTGATTCTATGTGTTGATCTGCAGTGCTGATATCATTTCTCAATACAACACTGATCTCTTCCATTACTCCTTTTCCTTCCTGCCTATATTTCCAAAACACGAAATACCCTTGGATATTCAATTCCCAAACCTGGTCTCCCTGCAATAACATCTCAGTAATTGTCACCAAATCATACATATTTGTCTCTATTTGCACTGTTAACTCATTAATATTATTCCGAATGCTTTGTGCATTTAGATACAAAGCCTTTAATTTTGTTCTATTCTCAAATTTTCCTACTCTTGTACGATTCCTTGGTACGATACTACAGTCATACATTCTAACCCTTTATTTTCTGGTAACAATCAGCCTCATCCCTAACTTGCACTCTTACCTTCTCCTTTAACTTTGATTTTCTAATTCTCCACACA